TCCATTTCTATTACTTTTATTAATTATTACTAACATTTTCAACTCTTTTTAAAAGCAAACTATGAGAGTAATTCTTTTTGAAACAAATATTCAAACATAAACATATTTTCACAACTACTTTATACATAAAATATAAAAAAAAAATTAGGTGGGAGGAAAAATGTATAAGAATTTTTGGTTTTTTTTATCTCATTTTTAGATTTTAATAATTTATATATATAAATATAAAATAATATTCTCATATAATGGAAACACACATAATTATCGTAATCGTGGCATCCTCTTTGATCATACAAATTATTAAATTGTATATTTTCAATGTCTTAATTATCCAAAATAATATATAAATCTGATATTCTAATAGATTAATTTGTACAATTTGACATATCAATGGATGGGGCCGACGATTCATCATAAGAAAATTTTTAAAAAAATAATAAAATTATTTTTCATTTTTTAAAAAACAAAATTGAAATTGAACGACTTTAGAAGAAAAACGGCAAAATCGACTAATAAAATTTATGATATGTTAAGTGAAAAATCAACCAGGCCGATTTTAAATTGATTTTTCACCTATTATAAAACAAAGCAAAAAAAAATATAGATCTATTATTTATTATTTTTAATTTTATTTTCATATAATATGTACTATGTGTACATACTTTTATTAATTTTTTAAAATAACAAAAATTTAATCTATTTGCTCGTTCATAAATCATACTCGAAACTACTCCTTGGGTTAATATGGTCAACGTCCGAACGACGCCGTTGCGCAATCTTTTATATACTCTTCCCTTGTAGCAACTGTTGAGAATCTGACATTTATCGAAGGTCTCTCCTTGAATTCGTAAAAACTGCCTGAAACCCTAGGTATCTAAAATCTGAAATCTTCTGGAAATTCACACTTTGTACCTTCCTAAGCAGCTAAACAGGGTTTGGTCCCTAATCGATCTGTTCTTTTCAATTTAGTTAATGATAAAATTATGACTATATTTGACCTTTTTCTTCACTTGTTAGGGTTTTACATTTTTATCAATTCGAATTTATTCCTATTTATATCGAATATCTATTTTTTTCTATTGGCAGTTTTTGAAAGAAATGGAGGAAATGTTGGCTTTGGTTATTTCAATGTTTATCCTTTTAGCGTTAGTTCCTTATACCTATGGAAACGCCGTCAGGGATACTCAGTCAACAGATTTAATGTTGAAGAACGGCAGGTATGTTTCAAGTTATTTTAAAGGTTTTAATCTTCTTTTTTATATAAAAAAAAGGTTTTTTATTGGTTGGTTTGTGTTATTATAGGCTCCAAGAAGGGAAAATGTAGTACGCCATGGGGCTACTGGCGGTCGTAGTAGGATGCGGAGGAGACCGGCTGCCGGAGGAGCTAGCACGTCGTCTGCTGCAACTGCTGAGGTTGAGGATTGTATAGAATTATGAAGTTTGAATTTTGTTGAGAATTTTACATATCTATTGATTAATGACAAAACGGGACTTTCCTGCCATAGTTGTGAATTTTGTGTCTGAAATAAATATAGGAGAACATATGACTATATAAATTGATGTTTTTGATTGTTATTTTCTCTGCCAATTAGTGATATATTTTTTGAATTAGGAAAGTGGTTTGAGAGGTGAAACGATGGTATTTTCTGTTCGATACCTTCGAATTGAGAAGATTAAGGTGTGTGAGTGAATATGGGGAGTGCTGTGTGTGGACTAACAACATATCGAGGATGACTTATCTTTGATGTTTTAGTGATTCTTGTGAGGACCGAGGGAAGGGTTGGTTTTTTGTGAACATGAACAAAGCTTTATTTTGTCGATGAGTCGTTGAGATAGATTATGTAAACCCTCTAATGAGCGTAGGATTTTTCGGGAAGGTGCCGAAGGATGCAACCAAATGAAACTTTTAGGATAGTCTACTTCCCCCTCTGAAATGCTCTTTCCTCTTTGGGGTTAATGGCACTGGTTAAGAATTTGTCTATCGAAATGTCAATGCAGAAACTGCTGATGGAAGTGAGGGAGAGAAGAAGGAGGTGGACATGAGGCTAGAGCATCAAAGAAAAAGGAAAAGAAAAGGCAAGAAAGGGAAGAACACGAAGGGTATATCATTATCATCTTATCATTTACTCGTCTATTTGGCTGCTGTTCACTAATTTGATATGATTTTTTTATCAAGGCTGAAGAGGCTGCTCGTGATTCAAGGCAGACTAAACAGGATCGGTATTCTGAAATGCGGCGGAGGAAGGACGAGGAGCGTGAGGCAGAGGAACGTAGGCTGGTCTGTTGTTTGCCTTCATTTATGGCGATTAGTTATATAACAGAATCCAAGTACATAACCACAACTATATCATTTCCTGGTTCAAGACATCTGCTATGGCTTATGCAGGAAAGAAGCTAAAGCCCGAAAGGCCAAGGAGGAAGAAGCTGCTGCCTTGGAGTTTGAAAAGTGGAAAGGAGCATTTTCTGTTGATGCTGAAGGAACCACAGAGAACGAGTTGCAAGATGGAAGTCAAGACTTGCTTTCTAATTTTGTCGAATACATTAAGGTACTTTCGATCCCTGTATTTATAAATGATAATTAAATATCAAATGTGTATGTCTGGAAGCACTACATGGAAAACATATAAACGTTTTTCAAAGTACACGAGCTGCATAATGATCAATAAGCATTAATCTTCTTAAGGCTTCAGAATGTATATATTTGTTTTTTAAGTGTTGTAAATGGTCTCGCAGAATCATAAATGTATACCTTTGGAAGATCTTGCTGCAGAATTCAAATTGAGAACCCAGGTCTGCATGTGTACTTTCGGCCTCCTGATATGGCAATGAAACGTGTTATAATTTCATTTTATACGTATTTGTTTGCTAGTAAAGAATGAAGCGAGCAAATTCTTTGCATGCCATGGTAAAGGAACCCATCAACTATAAGGGTATTGCCTCTTTTTTCGATCCTATCCCTCCTGCTTCTAATGTTAAAGCACAACACTTATTTGATGCAGGAATGTATCAATAGGATCGCCTCCCTTGAAAGCATGGGTATGTAACTATTATCTGTTGTGGGAACTGACTTTAGGAAATGAAAATTTCAACCCCATGTGCTTGTCACCGAGAGCTTAACGATTGATGCATCGACCCTATATTTGTTGTGTGTGCAGGGCGACTTTCAGGTGTCATGGATAGAGGGAAGATATATACATCTCGATGGACGAGATGCAGGCTGTAGCTGACATATCAAGCGTCAAGGAAGGGTTAACATCTCGCATTTAGCAGGCAAATCGAACCAGTTCATCGATTTAGAGCCGAAAGTTCAGTTGCGGAGGAGATCGGCACAGCAAGGAAATCACCGTTGCTTGATTCAGTTGTCTCACTGATATGTAGGACAAGTTCACTTAGGAAATATATAGCAATGGCACCATGAAAGGTGCCAAATTGAAGGATTTGTGTTTTTACTTTTATGTTCATGCATGAAGGCTTGTTGTGTTTCTTTAGAGATACTGTTCACATAAGTGTGCAATATCCAGTTATAGAAAACTGTTAGATTTAACGATCAATTCTGTTCGAATGGATGAATTGGTGAAAATTAGAGTACCTAACTTAATTTGATGAAAAATGAAGAAAAAATTCAAAGACTTTATTTATTTTTTAAAAAGTTCGAAGATTTACTCTACCATTGAGCCAAATATATATATAAGGATTTCCTATCAGAAGGATTTTGTTCATAATTTAGGGTAAATTATATGTTTAATACCTAAACTGTCAGTTTTTATCCGTTTTAATTCCTAACTTCAATATTTTTAGAATTAATCCTTTAAACATCTTTAATTTTATCTTTTCCCAAATAGAATTAGGGTTTGTTTGAACAAATCTTTGAATGCCAATCTTAATCTAAAAACATAGAACCTGATTCTATGTCCAAATCCGACAAAAAAAGGACAAGTCGTCGTGCTAAAATTCGTGGTTTTAACTTTTGGGTAAACTACACTGTTCACTGAACTTTTAATATATGTTCCCTTTAGTCACTACTTTCAATGATGTTAGATGTTGTTTAAAATGTTGATGTGGCACAATTAATTCTGAAAATCCAAACCTCCTTTAATCATACTAGTTGAAAAATCTTTAATCCCGTTAAAGTTCAATCAAACTAAAATTTAAATTTTTATGAATCTGTTACATCAACTGTCGGATCAAGTTGAAATCAAACTATATTAATGTTCTAATCAATGGAATCTTCTATTAAAACTGATCGACAATCTCTTCGATCGGAAATTATGAATGCCGAGATGAATATTTTCTTTTTCTTTTTTCTCTAAACTTATTTTTGTTGTTATTGTTAGTTGCGGCTATGAATGATAATCGAAAGAATGACCTTAAAAATAACGACAGAAGAAAAAAAATAACAACTAACAAATTGAAATAATAACGATGCTAAAGCGAATTAAAAAAATAGTGTACATCTTTCGAAAATTTAATGATCAAAGTGAAAATACCTTAAAAACAGTGAACATGAGTAACATTTTTCCCTTAAAAATTAGGGTAAGCTATGCATTAAGTATAAACTATCATTTTGGTTCGTTAGTATTTAAATTTTATTTTTTTCAAAATCATACTTAACGTTTAGTTTTTGTTTCATTTTAGTACTCCACGTAAAAAAACTTAACATGTTAAGTACATAAACTATCAGTTTTGGTCTGTTTTACAATTTAGACACTAAAACTTAACGTTAAATTTTAAACAGGGTACTAAAATGAAATAAAAATAACATAGATATTATTTTGAAAACAATGAAATTTAGATACTAAAACAGATAATAATATAGTATAGGTACTAAAAGCATAATTTACTCGAAAAATAATTCTAAAGACTTTCAGTTCAACAACTCCCTTCCCTCTAACACCACTCGTCTCGCGTTTCACCATAATTTGCGTACATCCGAAAATTCCAAAAGGAAAAAAGAACGAAAAATTCTTAATTAGTAAATATTTCTAGGCCTTTCCTTTCAATTTCCTCAACACCAAACGAAGAAGGATTAAATTCCAGCTCCGGCATCGCAGACCGTTAAATTCTTCTCCTTTTATTCCTTCTCAATAACCCAAATTTCGATTCTCCAGAAAAATCCCTAAAATCCTTGGATCAAGTAACTTTCCTCTAAAGGTTCTTCAGTTTTCCTCTAAAAGATCAATCTTTTAATCGTCCGTTGTTGATAGAACACTTTTCTGATTGTGGGTTTTGTCTATATAGTCAATAGTTCTTTTAATTTCTATAACTGGCATATCGATTCTTAATGTTTACTTTAAATTAGACAGGAATCGTTTTGTCTGAAGATAGGAAGCAGTTTATGATTGTAGGTTTTCTTTCTTTTGATTTGCTAGGGAATTTGTTGTTCATTCTTGTTTTTACTTAGATTAGTTTGAAATAGTAATCTAAATTTAATTGTTCTTATTTGGCTCGAATGTGTTTGAGCGCAATGCCTTCCATTTAGCGATTCGAAGGGATCACACATTGTTTATGTCAACAAGTTTGAATGTGTTATGACTGAATGTTGCTGCTTCTGTTTGGTGATATGTGATATGAAGTCGAATTTTGATGTGGTAATTGCTTATTCTGTAGGTCCTAGCTTGTGGTTGTTAGGCCTCTTGATCAACCGAGTTTCATGTCTGATCCCGACGTCCAGATTCCTAGTGCCTTCGGTATGTTTGGATCATGACTTCCTTGAATACCCATTTTTTCACTTTCGTCGATAATCTGGGTTTAACGTGTCTTTTTTGTTTGTTGTGGTAGATCCCTTTGCTGATGCAAATGCTGAGGACTCGGGTGCCGTCGCAAAGGACTACGTGCACATTCGTATTCAGCAGCGGAATGGTCGGAAAAGCTTGACAACTGTCCAGGGGTTGAAGAAGGAATTCAGCTACAACAAGATACTCAAAGACCTCAAGAAGGAGTTTTGCTGCAATGGCACTGTGGTCCAGGACCCTGAATTAGGCCAGGTGTGTGTGTAACTATCACCCTTTTAAGTGACGATTAACGTCGATACCCATTGTTGTTGCCCGATGATCGATTTTCATCACGTTTTCTATTTATGGTCAGGTTATTCAACTTCAAGGTGACCAGCGTAAGAACGTCTCCACCTTCCTTGTTCAGGTAATTGTTTTTTTGCTTCATGGAATATGTAGACTTCTTAGTGTGCGGTGGAGTTTTAAGTTCCCGAATCTCATCGTCTTCCCTTTTCTTACCAGGCCGGCATTGTGAAGAAGGAAAACATTAAAATCCATGGTTTCTAAGTTGCAGATGCTTGAATTTCTAGCTAAGGTCATTCGTCTCGTGTTGAAGCGGGAATACTACCTGATTTGAGATAATATCTATTAGTGTTATATCAACTTCATGATGCTTTGATAACATCGTATATGGTCTCGTATTTCGTGTGCTTTCCGGGTCTCCGGATTCTGTAATATTGGATCATTATGAACAGTCCCTCCTTTCCGACCACATATATAAAACAACAAGTGCACCCGCACGAATCGAACGGTCTCAGTGATAAATGAATATCAATACAATTCATGTCTTAAATTGATTATTTTCAAAATATTGAAGGCCTCACGGACTATTGAAACCTATAATACATTAATACTTGAATATGTAACCTTCAAGTGCTCCCCAAATCTCATTACCTGTAGTGACTGCTTTTCTGTCCTTTATAAATGAATAAATAAATGAACCCAAATCGGATTAAAATATTTGAATTTGTGACCGTAGTGCTCCACGAATTACCTTTAATGGCCTTGCATTTCTGTCCATTCATGAATTTGCACCTGTGAATGAATTGCTCATTTCCAATCAAGGATCTCATGCAATTGGCAATTGCTCATTATTAGCTACAGACAACAGCCACTTGTCATACCCGTTTTGGTAATTTGAATTCTACAATTTTTTTTAAAAGGTACAATTTCCCATGAAAAAATCAAGATATTTTAAATAAAGTAGAAATCAAAATTCACAAAAAGATAAAGGTGATATTTGTTTTTCTAAAAAAAATCTTTAAGTTTTATGTTTGTTTTGCGCAGATCATTTGTAGATATTGCATTTCTGAAAAACGTCTGTGCGTCCTCTTCTTGGCGCAGACGTGACCTTATGTCTTTAAAATTCTTCCAATCTCTTCAAAAATATTAAAAACAAAAACCTTCGCCTAAAAAACCTCCGATTACTGTAAAACTAAAATTATTTAAATTTTAATATTACAAAACTCTTTTAAGTTTAAAAATCAGTTTTTTATATTCATTTATTTTAACAGTATGCAGACGTTTAAAAACAACAGTATTCTTCTTGTAGATTGTAGACTTTTAATCAACCTCTTCTACTACAATACCTACATATATAATCCACAGACTATATACTTTTTACTTTGTAAAAATAAAACACACCTAAATGCCGTAGCAAAAGTTAATAGTTTTTTAATGATATATCACCAAAAAGCTCTTCATATCATATGAAACCCGCTCGAGTCATTTTGACAATGACATCAAAGAGAAAGCGGGTGAGAGTGCCATTAGCCGTCGATTAGGCCGAATCCAAATACACCATCGTTCTTGCTCATACATTGAATGTGAAATGTCACATAATCATCATAATTAACTCAATTTAAAAAGGAAAAATCATTCCATTATATTAAAATTTATCAAATTATTAATATCAATGATAAAATAAAATTTATTTATTAAAAAATTTAGATTAGATAATTAAACTTGTAAAATTTATGTATGTTATCAATTAATCAAATATGAAGGATTTTACCTTTATGCTTACATTGTATTCCTCGGTCTCAATTTCTATGTTAAAATACAAAAGGGACAATTTAATATCAAGTGAGAGTATTATATAAATGTAAAAATATCGATTTATGCACGAACTGAACGATTTTAATATTAAAAAATTGTGATTATTATTAAAATCTTTGATACAAGCATTAGCAACTAAGGATTAATACAAAAATATTAGCTTCCGAAGGATTTAGACCCTTCAAACTCTATCCTTTTGGCACGTGTCCACTCAGATATCGTTCACCTTCTTACTCCAGAGTTATATTTTGTCACCCTCTTTGTTTCTTCTCTGCGTTGTGATCTCTTTAGAGTTTCAAAGAAACATAAAGGGCAGTGTTCTTCTCTTGTTTCTTTCTCTATCAATGGCTTCCTCCGTGGCTACAACTCTCACTTCATCTCTCCGTCTTCTAAACTCTCAGGGAACAATACTCTATTCGAGTCTTCCTTCCATGGAGTTCCGGTGAAGGCACTTTCATTTTACCCAAAGCAAAAATCTTCCCCATGCAATGCGTCAGTTTCCATGTCGGCGGCATCGCCACCACCCTACGATCTGAACAATTTCAGTTTGACCCCATCAAGGAGTCCATCGTGTCTCGCGAGATAACGCGTAGGTACATGATGGACATGATCACCTACGCCGATACCGACGTGGTGGTCGTCGGTGCCGGATCCGCCGGGCTCTCTTGAGCCTACTAGCTCAGCAAGGACCCGTCCTAAGGTCACTATCATCGAACAATCTGTTAGCCCCTGAGCCTACTAGCTCAGCAAGGACCCTCCGTAAGGTCACTATCATCGAACAATCTGTTAGCCCCGGTGGCGGTGCCTAGCTCGGTGGACAGCTTTTCTCTGCCATGGTAAAATTATTTTCTGTTATGAACTTAAATCTGCTATATTTAAATAAGTTGTGATTTTTAATGTTAAAAGTCAATAATTTAGGCACCAAATGGTGCTTTGTCAAAGTCAAAAATTAGGCACCTAATTTTTGTTGAAATTGGGTAATGGAATAATGAATTTTAGTCATGTAATTTAGGGTATTATAAGATTAGTCCTTAAGTTTCAACTATAAATACCCTAGCTCATTTAGCTTCAAAATATCCCAAAGCATTCTAGCTTTCTTCCAATACTAGAGAGAATTCAGAGAGTTTCTTGAGAGTTGTTTTTCCTTTTTATCGAGGAGAGAATTATCTTGTTTTCTCCTTGGTAGATCGAGAGAGGTTGTAATTTCAGAGAGTTTCTTGAGAGTGTTTTCTCCTTTTTATCGAGAGAGAATTATCATTGTTTTCTCCTTGGTAGATCGAGAGAGGTTGTAATTCCTATTTTCTCATAGTGAAATTCTTCTACCGTTGCCCGTGGTTTTTACCCTATTTTATTTAGGGATTTTCCACGTAAATTTTGTGTCTATTTTTATCTTCATTTTTATTTTCTCAAATTATCAGTTGCGATTTTGCTCTATCCGATAGCCGTCTTCCGCAACAATTGGTATCCGAGCTAGATTAGAATGTGTAATATATGCTTATTGTCTTTGTGGTTGCCACCAAAAGGTGGATCATCCAACATAAGAAAGTAAGAAGTTATTACCCATTCTTTGAAGGTTCCAGAGAACTATTCACGATAGTGAAATAGTGGGAGCTATCAATAATAGAAGCTATGGCAACGAAATTTGATATTGAAAAATTCAATGGGAGAAATTTCTCATTGTGGAAATTGAAGATGAAGGCCATCATGAGGAAAGACGGTTGTCTAGCAACTATCAGTGAAAGGCCAGTGGATTTCACAGATGACAACAAATGGATCGAAATGGACGGAAATGCTATGGAAAACTTTCATCTAGCATTAGCAGATGAAGTATTATCAAGTATCGAGGAGAAGAAGACAACTAAGGAGATATGTGATCATCTCACCAAACTGTACGAGGCCACATCGTTGCACAATAAAATTTTCCTTAAGAGAAAATTGTACACTCTCCGTATGCCAGAATCTACTTCAGTGACGGAGCACTTAAATACACTGAATACTTTATTTTCTCAGCTTACATCCTTAAGCTGTAAAATAGGAGAACAAGAACTTACTGAACTTCTACTTCAAAGTCTACCGGATTCGTATGATCAACTCATCATCAACTTGACAAACAGTAATGTCACTAGTCTAGTCTTTGATGATGTTACAGCTGTTGTTCTACAAGAAGAAAATCGGCGTAAGAACAAGGAAGACAGACAAGTAATCTGCAACAAGAAGAAGCGTTGACAATGATGACAACGATGAGAGGGAGATCAACAGAACGTGGCCAAAGCAGCAGTCACAAACATGGTAGATCGAAGTCGAGGAGCAAGAAGAATTTAAAGTGTTACAACTGTGGAAATAAGGGTCATTTGAAGAATGATTGGTGGAGTCTAAATAAAAACTCCAATCCACAAGGCAATACCGCAAACACTTCAGATGATGGAGATGCTCTATGCTGTGAAGCGTCAACCACCGTGGAAGGAAGAAAACGATTTGCAGATATATGGCTCATTGATTCGGGAGTAACATATCACATGACCTCAAGAAGAGAATGGTTTCATTATTATAAACCTGTCTCAGGAGGATCTGTTTATAGTTGCAATGATCATGCCTTAGAGATCGTTGGCGTGGGAACCATCAAATTGAAGATGTATGACGGAACAATTAAAGTTGTTCGAGATGTGCGGCACGTGAAAGGCCTGAAGAAAAATTTATTATCCTACGGATTGTTGGATAATAATGCAAGCAAGATTGAAACATGAAAAGGAATCATGAAGGTGTTCCGTGGAGCGCTTGTGGTGCTGAAAGGCGAAAAAATAGGTGCAAACTTGTACATGCTGAAGGGAGAGACTTTGGTAGAAGCAGAAGCCTCTGTTGCCTCATATAGTTCAGATTCGGCAATGCTATGGCATCAGAAACTTGGACACATGTCAGAACAAGGAATGAAAGTCATTGTAGAGCAAAAGCTACTTCCAGGCTTAACAAAGGTATCACTTCCTTTGTGTGAGCATTGCATAACAAGTAAGCAGCACCGGTTGAAATTCAACACATCAAATTCTAGAGGCAAAAGTGTTCTAGAATTGGTTCACTCTGACGTATGGCAAGCACCAGTAACGTCCCTAGGTGGAGCAAAATACTTTGTCTCATTTATTGATGACTAATCCAGGAGATGTTGGGTGCACCCTATTAAGAAGAAGTCAGACGTGTTTTCAACTTTCAAAAACTTCAAAGCGCGGGTGGAACTTGATTCTGGAAATAAGATCAAGTGTTTCAGAACAAATAATGGAGGAGAATACACAAGCGAAGAATTTGATGACTTTTGCAGGAAAGAATGCATCAAAAAACAGTTCACAGTGGCGAACACTCCTCAATAAAATGGAGTGGCAGAGCGGATGAACATAACCTGTTAGAAAGAACAAGAGCAATGTTGAGGGATGCAGGCCTAGGAAAATCATTCTGGGCAGAAGCAGTCAATACCGCCTGTTATTTGGTGAATCGAGCTCCATCAACTGCAATAGAGCTGAAGACACCAATGGAGATGTGGACTGGTAAACCAGTTGATTATTCAAACCTCCATGTATTTGGAAGTATTGTGTACGTGATGTACAACGCCCAAGAAATTTCAAAGCTGGATCCAAAATCCAGGAAATGCAAATTCTTGGGGTATGCTGATGGAGTAAATGGGTATCGCTTGTGGGATCCCACTGCCCGCAAAGTGATCATTAGCAGGGATGTTATCTTTGTAGAAGATAAGCTACAAAGAAAAGAAGACGATGATAACGTTGAAAAGTCAGAGACTACTCAGATACATGTGGAAAAAGAGTTTGAAGAAGGAGATTCTTCTGAAGCAGAACCAGCACATGATGAACAAGAACCAGAGAGTTATGAAGCTCCAACAACTCGTCAATCAGATCGTGTGAGAAGACGTCCCAATTGACACTCAGATTATGTTATAGAAGGTAATATTGCATACTGCCTTTTAACAGAGGACGGTGAGCCATCAACATACCAGGAGCCAATAAACAGCTCAGATGCTTCACAGTGGATGATGGCGATGCAAGAAGAAATCGAAGCCCTTCATAAAAATAATACATGAGACCTTGTGCCACTACCACAAGGAAGGAAGCCAATTGGTAACAAATGGGTCTTCAAAATCAAGCGAAATGGCGACGATCAAGTTGAGAGGTATCGCCCAAGACTGGTGGTCAAAGGATATGCTCAAAAAGAATGTATTGATTTCAATGAAATATTTTCTCCTGTGGTTCGACTAACAACAGTTCGAGTAGTTTTGGCAATGTGTGCTACATTGGAATTACATCTAGAGCAGTTAGATGTTAAAACAACTTTTCTTCATGGAAATCTTGAAGAATAGATTTATATGCTCCAACCTGAAGGTTTTGAAGAAGACGAAAAGAAGAACTTGGTTTGCAGGTTGAACAAATCTCTGTCCGGTCTAAAGTAGGCGCCGAGGTGTTGGTATAAGAGATTTGATTCCTTCATTATGTGCCTTGGATATAACAGACTTAATGCATACCCTTGTGCTTATTTCAAGAGGTCTGGTGATAACGATTTTGTTATATTGCTGTTGTATCTGGATGACATATTGGTTGCAGGACCCAACAAAGATCATATTGAAGAATTGAAGGCACAACTGGCTAGGGAATTTGAAATGAAGGACTTGGGATCAGCAAACAAGATTCTAGGGATGCAAATTCACCGAGATAGAAGTAATAGGAAGATTTGGCTTTCACAAAAGAATTACTTGAAGAAAATATTGTCACGATTTAGCATGCAAGATTGTAAGCCAATTTCTACCCCTCTTCCTATTAACTTCAAATTATCCTCCAGTATGAGTCCTAGCAGTGAAGAAGAGAGGATGAAGATGTCTCGAGTACCGTATGCATCAGCAGTGGGAAGTTTAATGTTCGCTATGATATGCACAAGACCAGACATTGCACAAGCAGTGGGAGTGGTTAGTCGATACATGGCGAATCCAGGCAAAGAGCATTGGAATACAGTAAAGAGGATCCTGAGATACATCAAAGGGACCTCAAATATTGCATTATGTTATGGAGGATCAAACTTACTAATCAATGGGTATGTAGATTCTGACTATGCAGGGGATTTGGATAAAAGCAAATCTACTACAGGATATGTGTTCAAAGTTGCTGATGGAGCTGTAAGCTGGGTTTCAAAATTACAGTCAATTGTGGCTACATCCACAACAGGCAGAATATGTAGCAGCTACACAAGCCAGTAAAGAAGCAATTTGGTTGAAGATGCTATTAGAGGAGCTTGGGCACAATCAAGAGTATGTCTCTCTGTTTTGTGACAGTCAAAGCGCCTTGCATCTAGCAAGGAATCCAGCATTTCATTCAAGGACAAAACACATACGAGTTCAGTACCATTTCATTCGTGAAAAGGTGGAAGAAGGGACAATAGATATGCAGAAGATCCATACCAAAGACAACATAGCAGATTTCATGACGAATGCGATCAACGCTGATAAATTTACCTGGTGTCGATCCTCCTGTGGCCTGTCAGAAACGTAAGCAACATGAAGGTACAAGGTAGAAAGAATGGTGTGAAGATATGATTATTCCAATCAAATCTTCAAGTGGGAGATTGTTAAAAGTCAAATAATTTAGGCACCAAATTAGGCACCAAATGGTGCTTTGTCAAAGTCAAAAATTGGGCACCTAATTTTTGTTGAAATTGGGTAATGGAATAATTAATTTTAGTCATTGTAATTTAGGGTATTTATAAGATTAGTCCTTAAGTTTCAACTATAAATACCCTAGCTCATTTAGCTTCAAAATCATCCCAAAGCATTCTAGCTTTCTTCCAATACTAGAGAGAATTTAGAGAGTTTCTTGAGAGTTGTTTTCTCCTTTTTATCGAGAGAGAATTATCATTGTTTTCTCCATGGTAGATCGAGAGAGGTTGTAATTCCTATTTTCTCATAGTGAAATTCTTCTACCGTTGCCCGTGGTTTTTACCCTATTTTATTTAGGGGTTTTCCACGTAAATTTTGTGTCTCTTTTTATCTTCATTTTTATTTTCTCAAATTATTAGTTTCAATTTTTCTCTATCCGATAGATGTCTTCCGCGACATTTAAGGCCATGAAATTGTCTAAAACTCATGTTCACTCAGGTCGTGAGGAAACCAGCTCATTGCTTCCTGGATGAACTCAAGATCGAATACGATGAATAAGACGACTACGTCGTGATCAAACATGCAGCCCTTTTCATATCCACGATCATGAGCAAGCTCTTGGCCCGCCCCAACGTGAAGCTATTCAACGCGGTGGCGGCCGAGGATCTGATAGTGAAGGAAGGAAGAGTCGGCGGCGTTGTGACTAACTGGGCCCTGGTGTCTATGAACCACGAAACACAGTCCTGCATGGATCCCAATGTAATGGAGGACAAGGTGGTGGTGTGCTCTTGCGGACACGATGGACCATTCGGCGCCACCGGATTCAAGAGGTTGAAGAGCATCGGGATGATCGATAGCGTGCCGGGGATGAAGGCACTCGATATGAACTCGGCGGAGGATGCCATCGTGAGGCTGACTAGGGAAATCGTGCCCGGGATGATTGTTACAGGGATGGAAGTTGCAGAGATCGACGGATCTCCAAGAATAGTAAAATCCCTTCCTCCTTTTCACTTGCATAACAATCATTAATGCTTTCTGGGCCCATTAGTGACGCACTGTGTTGATTTTTACAGGGGCCAACATTCGGAACAATGATGATATCAGGGCAAAAGGCAGCTCATCTGGCTCTCAAAGCATTAGGGTTGCCTAATGCCCTTGACGGAACATATGTGGGAAGCATTCACCCGGAGCTGATCTTGGCCTCCTCTGATTCGGCCTACACCGTTGACGCTTAGTGTCGTAATATCGATACCGATGGCTGTGGTCGCAGTTGCTATATATGGAGACGAGGGAATTGAATAATGGCAGGAAATGGAATAATCTCCTGTAACTTGATATCTAAAAGAGCTTAGCATGTAGTTTTCCTTCTTCTTCTTGTTGTAGCATGCCTTTGAATTAAGTACTGCTTGCTTTCTCTACTACTCTGTCTTCTATATAATGATGGCTAAAAGAATGATATTGCTCGTAAAATAATCTAACAAGCTGAAACTTAAAACATACAATATAATATATGGTTTGCTTCTAACTACCATTACAGGCATCCACAAATCAAAAGAATAATCTAAGTCGAGCAATTTATCTGCAAGAGAGAAACCAGGAATTTGTTTCCCGTTGCGAATCTTTAGATCAACAATCTAAAAACAGCAGAAAACCAGGGGCAGAGAATTTAGCTATACTTGAATATCCCTCGTGTTCTTTCTTCTTCTTCGTAATCCTGTTATCTCATAAGTTTCAATCACAATTCTTTCACCGCCTAAGTGCCTCTCTCCTCCTTCCTCCGCGTGGTGACCGTACGGTTAACTTCTCTCCCCTCTGTCCCCTCCGCTGCTCTCTAGGCTCTTCAGCATTGGCCAACAAAATAATAGCAACAATAAAGGGATTGGAGGGGGAAAAAGATGGGAAAACCAGGTATGAACCTGTTGTTTATTTCATTAATCTTGATCCATATAAGAACTCAAGTCTGTAACGGCGTTCCTCGAGATCACGATAGCTATGCCTACGAGGAGAAAAAGGCTCCGGCTCCACCGCTACCGCTACCGTGAATGGACAATTGTAACAGTGTGTGGAAGGCATCTCTCAGCTAATATTTTTTTTCTTTGTTTCTCTTATTTTAAAACCCCCTTATTTCCCTAGAAACCTTCATGAACACATGTTGCAAACATGAGCCGAAATTGGAAAGTAGGAGTATGACGAGCCAGTACGTGCCTAAGCAAAACGGAGACCTCACCTTCATGTACGATTTCCTGAAATCATACGAAGGTAACTACCAGGCACAAGTGACGATGAACAACCACAGCCCCATCAGCAAACTCGACCGATGGAACCTGAGATGGGAATGGATGAGAGGCAAGTTCATTTACTCCATGAAAGGAGCCTACACTCCCAGAATCGATCACTCCGAATGCATTCACGGCTCTGCCGCTAAATACCTCGAAAGCTTCGATTTCTCTCAAGTCATGAACCGCGATAAAGCTCCGATGATTACCGACTTGCCGCATTCGAAGGCAAACGATACCAGGGTTGGTAAGATCCCTTATTGTTGTAAAAATGGGACTCTCTTACCTCCATGGATGGACGAAAAAAAGCTCGAGCTGTCTTTCAATTGAGAGTATATAAATTGCCTCCGGGTATTTCGAAGACAGTGTTGCATCCGCCGTAAAAATGGAACATTACAGGATATCTTAACGCTGGTTACAAATGTGGACCTCCAGTTAGAGTAGACCCGTCGGAATTCGCCGATCCGTCGGGTCTCGATGCGAAGATATACACCGTCGCGAGTTGGCAAGTCTTCTGCAACATCACGAAACTGGATACGGACAAATCCAAGTGTCGCGTTTCGTTCACAGCTTTTTACAGCGATTCCGCCATTCCCTGCCCCACGTGCGCTTGCGGATGCGACAAGGTCTACACCGACTCCCATAAATGCAATCCCGACAGGCCGGCGTTACTTCTGCCGCCGAGTGCTCTCCTTCTCCCTGCAGAAAATCAGACAGAGAGAGCTCGAGAATTCTGAAATAAAAAACAAAGAGGTCCATCGTAAGTTGCCTTGCCCAGACAACTGCGGGGTCAGCATAAACTGGCATGTCAACTCCGATGACAAAGACAAATGGATGGCGAGGATGACTCTGTTCAACTGGGGAGACCTCCCAATCATCGCCTGATACGTCTGTAACATCCTCAATACCGGGTTAGTGACCAAATTGTAAAATTTCAAGAATTGGTGATTAAAGTGGGATAATTGAATAGTTCAATGATTTATTGGAAATATGATGAAGGTTATTTAGTAATTATTGAATGAAGTAGAGGGTAAAATAATCAATTGACATGGAATATTTTTATATTCCTTTTATAAGATAAGGAACCACATGAGAAAAGAGAGAATTATCCAGAGTCTTCTTTCTTCTTCTTCCTCCTCCCGTATCTCAAAGCTCAAAGGTGAGTTTCTTTATTTATGGATTAATTGTTGATTTTAAGGTTGGGTTTTGATGATTAGATGATAACTAAGCTTAAGGAAAGCTTAAGTTATCTTAAAATCAAAGTATGATGGAGTTAGGAGGGATTAAAGATTTGATGTTCTTGGGTGAAATCTTGAAATAGAGTTCATAACTGAAGTTGAAAGTTAAATTTGACTTGTCAATGGTCTAATTAAGAAGTTAGAAGCCATAGAATGTGAATTAAAACATATTGCAAAGTTGGTTTAATTCTTGAGTTACATATCAGAAATAAATTTTTGAAGTTAAAGATGGTTTATATATGTATAAATTGGTTTAAGCATGTGTATATGAGTTGAGAACATAAAACGGGATGAAAGATGAAGCATTTGAGTCGATTTGAGTAGATTTTTGGGATTTAAAATGAATTCTGGGCTATGTGCATCGATGCACATTCAAGGGTGCACCGATGCATCAAGGGTAAATTTTCAGAATTTGTACAGAGTGTATCGATGCACAGGGAGTGCATCGATGCGCCCATATTAATGGAAACATTGAATGTAATTGGTGCATCGATGCATAAGGAGTGCATCTATGCATCCCCTTAAAATGAAAACATCGAAGGTGATTGGTGCATCGATGTACTGTTGAATGCATCGATGCACTTCAAGGGATACCTTTCTTTTGGTATAAGAAATGATAGATTAGTGTATATCAATTGGATACTAATAGGTATCAATGTATGATTATATAGATATCGAGCACGAACAAGTCCCGGAACGATTATCAAGTCAAGATTCGATCGAAAGAAAGGAAATCATAAAGTGGATTAGATCTTAGTGAGGCTCAGGTGAGTGCATAGTAGTTAGTTTATGGTGCTAAATGGAAACAAGACTTGTGATAAGTCTATTTCCTATGTTAGAATGCATGAATATATGATTATAAGTATATGAATGACATGAATTGTATGTATGCTGGATTATATGTGTTAACATGTTTATGATTGTGAGGATATGAGAAATATGTGCTATGTGATGTATATATATGAACATGTGAGAAATTGAACTATATGACTGCATGAGAAAGATATGAGCCATATGACATGTTATATGCGAACCTGAGAAAACAAAGTATAAGATATGAGCTATGTAATCTTATGAGAATATGAAAAGAAGCTATGTGATTACATGTATATGTGAAAGAAGCTATGAGCTTATATGACATGTGAAATGATAAAGTGAAAATGCCTATGTTATATGATACAAGAGCTATAGGTATAGTTGGCATGCCAAGAGTCGAGGGTCTACACGGTCCTTCGGGACATACAGTAATCTTTCGGATATTTCATAGGTCTTTCGGGACAAAATTTCATAGCCCCTAGTGGGACCCCTACGAGTTGTGGTGATAGCATAGTGCACAACCTCAATAGACTCACATATCTACAGTTCTTACAAGTGTATATAGGCTAATAAGAGATAACATTGAATACAATGTATGTGATAAATATATGTGTTTTGTGACATGAATTATATGATATGATATGTGTGTGTTAATGATTATTGTATATGTTATAAGATATATGATATGAACATAATAGAAACGTGAATGATAATAATATGATAATGATAGATTAGAAGATAATTATATGCATGTGTGGATTTGATAAATGAATGGATATATGTTTGGGTATGAGGTGATAGCATTAATTGTTCATATATGATTACAAGCTATAGTTTATATTTTATGTTTATTGCCTCACTAAGTCATCGACTTAGCGTGTGATTGTTTCACACGTAGGTTAACGAAGTTAGAAGAGTAAAGAGCAATGTGGAGCAAGACAGGTCAGTTCTCCTTACCAAATGTCATATCAGAATAAAGGTGAATAATATGTATTTTAATACATAAAGTTCTAGTTGGCATGTATTCAAAATAATATATTGTATAAGCTCTGAATAGTTTGATAAAGGTTTTGAATAAGTTATATGTAATAATAAATTTTAAATTACTCACTATTTTATACGAGTTAAGGTTTTTGAAAAGTCAATGTGACGCTTCGGACTCGGATCCGGGTCGGATACGAGTTGGGGTATTACAACGTCTCCATCGAATCGGACATAGCGTACCTAGGTTTTGATGAGGCGTATTCGTTTAACGGAACCAACAAGCTGAAGAACGTTAAGAACACAATCTTCTTCAATGGCTTGAAGGGCTTGGAATTCTTGTTGGCAGAGAAAAATGGGGCTACACCAGATGATCCAAGAATCCCCGGAAAACAACAATATGAGATTTCATTCACGAAGAAAAACACACCCAATATAACAGTTCGAGAAGGCGATGGGTTCACTCTGAAGGTGTATTTCAATGGCGAAGAATGTTTACTTCCCGATAGGTTTCCGAGTTCCGGTCACCACCGCTCTCCAGTTTCCATTACTACTTTCATCTTCATATCTTTTACTACTTTCATCTTCATATCTTTTACTACTTCCATCTTCATATCTTTTACTACTTCCCCACTGTTTCATTCCCTTCAATGAAACCGTTGCAAACTTACAGTAGATTTTGAAATCCTGTTTTAGCACCAAGAATCTCGGAGGACGAACATTCAATATAAAATAATCAAAAGTTATTTTTAAAAGATATTGTTTTTGTACTTATCACATATTAATTAATAAAATGAAAATTTTAAAATCCAAGTTAATTTTTTTTTTAAATATTAGAAATTTAATGAGAATTTTTTAAAAATATTCGAAAAGATTAAAACTTAATAAGAAATTAAAAAAAAGCCCCTAAATTGAACCAGTGTCTCCTTTGCCACTTTGGAGTACCCTGCAGGCACACTCAATCCGCCTCACATCCATCCTCGTGCTGCCGAGCTCCTCATTGTCATCGATGGAGTTCTCGAAGTCGGTTTCATCGACACGACCGGCAAACTTTACAGCCAAAAATTCGAGTTTCTTGACATGTTTGTGTTCCCGAAAGGCCTCGTGCATTACAAATATAATCCGAGCTTCGATACCCCGTCCATGGCTGTCTCGGCCTTTGGTAGTGCGAATACTGGTACCGTTTCAGTTCCATCCACCGTTTTTTCCACCGGCATCGACGATAACATCCTTGCTAAAGGGTTTAAAACTGATGTTCCTACAATTGAGAAGATCAAGAAAGGTCTTGGAGCCTAGGCCGAAAATTTGAACCCTCGTTTGCTACCATCCTAACAATCGTCATCTTTGTTTGATGGATTTTTGTAGGGAAAAGATGAATTGCTGGAAAACCAAATGCAGAAATCATGTAATGGAACTACATTTGAGTTTCTTTAATTGCTTCATTTTGATATCTATGGTCTTTGATCATCATCCTTTAAATGGAATATCGAGATCGGATTGAAGCAAACAACTCCGTTTCTCATCATAATCGGAACTTGGAAGCAGACTTACAGGATTGTCAAAAACAACAAACCATAAAAGAAATACAAAAATGGAGGACCCGGTTCATATACCTATCTCTTCGCTCCACATTTCTCATCGTTTCTCCTCTTCTTTCTCCTCAATTTGTCACACATGTATGCTTTCTCCTGGTGCTCCACCCTCTGAGCCAAAACCCTCAACATCCGAGTCTGCAACTCGTTCCTCTCCCACACCGCCTCTATCAACCTACTTTTTTATATTTATCTAATAATTAAATGAATGATTGGTTATCAGCACCAAATTATAAGCCTAGTTAAATTAATTTATAAAATTTTAAAAGATTTAACATACAATTATAAAATTAGTTAAAAATTTAAAGATAAATTATTTAAAATAAAAGATAAATTATACTAGTGATCACTTAATTATTATCTTTTTTTTTTTTAAGCATTATTTTTTAAATTTTGTCAATCAGGTCACTCAAGTACAATTTAAATGTATTCAATAAAATCACTTGCGGTTAATATTTAACGGAAAGCCTGATGTAACAGTTAAAATATTTAGTATAATTACACATTTAATCAATGTTACCTGTATTTATATCAATTTGCTCCCAATTTTAATAAATTAAAATAAATTTAACCTTCAGGTTAATATCGCTTAAGCAAGGTCTTAGGTTCGAGTCTTTGTGTATGTAAAAAATTCTCGTTGAGAGATTCCCTCGTCATGACTAGGTGTGCGACCCGGGTCGATCCTGATTAATCAAGGCGAACCTTGGAATTTGGAATTGGAGGGCAACCGGAAAAGAAAAAGCTGGCATGGCTTTGTTCCCAGCCTTTAATGGCACCCTCAAACACTTCAGGTTGCTGGCATATTTATGTTCACTACAAGACTAGGGGAAACTTAGAATTCTATGGGGGAAACACATTTTATTTATTATGGCAACAAATACCTTGAATGGCTTCGTTACGTCTTAATGATTATTTTATGAGGTACGATTCACCTTCAACACAACGAAGCAACATGATAAATCCCATTTTGCAGCAGAATTAGACCAAACATACATATTTAACCAAATAGCTTAGAAATTAGAATACCACATCTCAGGCCTTAGGTTGGAACCTGCTTTGAGCTTCTGAATTGTGTCAACATCGGTTTTGAAAGACTTAGCTAAGATGTCATCATCGATGTTCGTCGCAAACACCGTAAAAGGAACCGAGACTGTGCCGGCAGCTGCACTACCGAAGGCCGAAACCGCGATAGCAGAATGGTTCTTGGCGCAGTTGAACTGATAATGGACTAATCCCTTGGGAAACACAAACATGTCACCAGCTTGAAGCCTTTGTGTAAACAGCTTGTTAGTGGTATCAACGAATCCAACTTCAAGTATGCCATAGGTGAGGAACAAAAGCTATGCGGCACGAGGATGCGTATGAGGAGGGTTAACAGAGCCAGCAGGGTACTCCAACACAGCATAGGAAACACTTTGGCCATTAAGGGCAGGGAACTCAGCCATGGTTGCTTTAGTGACAGTGAAATTTGTAGGTGGGGGAGAGTTAATGAGTGACCTCATGCCGGTATAGGTGAAGAAGTTTCCATCCAATAGAGTGTTATTGGTTCCTGGTGGAACCACAAAATCAGAGAGAATATCAGGATCTCCAATTAAGGCTGAGAAAGGGAAGGCGATAACTAGAATTGTTGCTTGACACTCAAGGCCATGGCTGAAAAATCCTTGGAAACAATGCTGCTATGCCTTCAGACATGCAGGAAGAGTTCCATATATATAAATGGCAGAGTTTCTTGGTATTGTCGATTAGATCTTTGTTGGATTGTTAATCATGTGGATTTACTGAGAAAGAAGAATCAGAAACATGGCAGCTATAGGCTCAAATATTCTTGTCTATGGTCCCAGACTTTCTTTATCCGGAAATCTCAAGATGTTCCTTTAGCATATCCATATGATTTCAGAAAAGGAAAAAAAAAGGAAAGGCATGTCTACATTTCCTGTCATTTTTTGTATGGAACTACGATGGAGATAATTATTGGAAATGATAAGAATACCAACAAAGTTAGTTCAAATGGTAAGCAACTTAATATTGCTTAAGCAAAGTCTTTGGTTCGAGTTCTTGTGTAGGCAGAAAATCCTGCGAAAAACTCACTCACCAAAACTAGGTGTACGATCTGGGTCCGTCTAGATTAATCAAGACGAAGCCTTGAAACTAGAGGGCAACAAAAAAAAATTGGAAATGACAAGTATGTTTTGTGATATTTTGATATCATATAGATTTTACGTAACTTGCATTTTCTGTCTGGCCCTACCAGGAATTAGACCAATTTTGTTCAAAGATCAAATATGGAATGAAAAAAACAGGGGATCAAATTGGGACAAATGGTAATTTAATGGCCCTACTAGTAGTAGGATCCGGATGCTTTGTAAAGCCAACTAGATCAACGGCCAAGAACACTGATGCAAGGTAACATATAACAAAACAAAAGACACGCAAACGTTTCTTCTCCAGACAACGAGTGGATAGAAACGCTAAGTGGAAACGAAACCACCTTCATCTACTCCCCTTTTGTCTCACCGAACCAGAAACAAAAGAATCAATGGCTTCAATCCCGTTTACTTTCCAAATACCCTTTACTTCAAAACCCACAAATTCCTTCCCATCTTTGCCAAAGCTCGGTTCCAAGTTTCTGGGTTCTCAAAATTCTCTGTCTTGGTCTACACCTTCAAAGATTGGACCCTCCAATGGTTCAAGGACTCGATGCTGGTTTAAGTTTGGTAAGAATGGTGTTAATGCTGAAGGTGCTGGCATTTATGGAAGCCAAATCAGAGATGATTTCGACAGAGATGATGTTGAGCAGGTTGTTCTTTGAATCTCTGTACGTTTGCTTTTCTTTGTCGACCAACTTCTTCTTGTTCGATTTGGTTAATTGAAGTGTAGGAAACATGTTTGGTTTTATGATTTTAGATGATATCATGATGATATTGTCATTACAGGCATATATGGAGGATTCAAAATGAATGAACTTATTGAATGGTTGTTAATAATTATATGAATATCATCAGTACAGACAAAGCTTCCATTGATGAAACTATTTTGTTTGCAGTACTTTAACTACATGGGGATGCTTGCTGTTGAAGGCACCTACGATAAGATGGAAGCTCTTTTGAACCAAAACATTCACCCAGTAGACATCTTGCTAATGCTGGCCGCATCAGAAGGCGACAAGCCGAAAATCGAAGAGCTTTTGAGAGCTGGAGCTAAGTATGATGTCAAGGATGCAGATGGACGTACTGCCCTTGATAGGGCTGTCGATGAAGAAATAAAACAGTTGATCCTTAATTTTTCTGTGCAAAAGGCTTGATCTGGTTGATTCAATCCCTGATAATAAACCTCGAGTTGAACCTAGTTTGAAGATTGTCGGATAGAGGAAAAGTTAGTGTTTCATGTATAAAATTCGCCTATAAATTCGATGAACTTTTGTTACCAACTCGAATGATGATGTATCACTTTACCAATGGTATGTTCTTGTTTATGGTTGATAAGTTTGCTTGCGATCAACCTTACTGGAAGGAGAACAACAAAGGGTTAAAATTAATATGTTTTCAATTAAAAGCTGCTTACATATCTACAATTCATGGAGTTTGATGAACAATGTACTGTATAATTTCACGGTGAAAACAGAGAATAAAATGGAGTTCATGGGAACTGAAACATCTATTTGAAGTAAAGCTCAAGTAGCTTCTTCAAAGTGTCGAATACGCTCGTAAAAGGGTTAAGTGCTACAGGAGCCTTTAGTTCAAGATCAGGGAATTGGTTTGTTAAAGCCTTTTGCATCTCGGACATGGACATCATAGCAGCTAGCTGACTGTTTGACATCACTTCACAATCTTGTGGGGTGTCCTTGATTTCGCTTGGATCATATCCGAAATTTGCCAGGTATGATATGTACTTGTCTATGAATTCGCGTCCTGGATTTGGTGTTCTCGAGTAAATCTGAAACAACAATGCCAGATTCATAAGGAAATAGTTTTACATATCTGAAACATTGAGGCTAAAAATCCGACGCAACTGGTATATTACTGCATGAATTGAGATGTGGTTGCTTGAAGACTAGCAAGAAATCAGTCTTTTGCCTCGATATATGTTTTCTTAAAGTCATAGTATCCAAAATCAGTGTTTAAAGCATATTTGATTTGAACATAAGTATCGAGATACTACACTCCGTAGATCCTTAATGAGATATGCTATCTGTTTACCTGGATAAAGCTTGTGTCTTTCGCTCCTGAAACAAGGGCGTAATTGTTGTAGTCGGTAGCAATAACATCATAAGGTTCTTTGGGGATAAAAGGCAAGGTAGGAAACCGAAGGTAACATTTCTCTTTAATCATCTCTTGCTTTTCTAAATCTGTTTCATTCTTCCCAATATCTTCCTCTGAAAGGCATTGAACATTTCCTCTTATCCCGGTAATATATCCGTCAGGCCCTCCATGAACACAAAATGTGTCAACCTGTATTGCAGGTGTTTTCATGTCGAATGAATAAACTCCCTGCAAATTGATTGACTACATGTATTATTTTAGCAATCAAAGTTTGGGAGTAAACAAAAAGTTATGACAGGATGAAATCTACAGCAGTAATGGATCTGAGAGAAGCAACTAGTCCTAGTTTCGGGATCTGATAAAAACTAGTTTGACTTCTGGCTCGTTGTTTTATTCGTTGAACTGTATATGGTAAAGTGAAACTAGAGAAGCCTATGATGGTTGAAATCTATGTTACTTGAACCAGTATCACATATGGGAATGTATCTGACATAGCAATGATTATTTTTTTCTAAGTTTTCCCATGTACTTGGAAGATCCTTGGAGATCATATCCTCGAACCCATGTGTCAGGCACGAGCATTGGACAAGAGTACTTAAAGACCAATGAAGAGTCCGAGCAACATAGATTGAAATATTTTCTACATATATATCATAAAACGGATCCTCGGTGTTTCTCAATTTGGGAGTGAATCAGTGAAATGACACGAAGTCAGTTTTGTATCTACCTTGCAACGTTTACCTGAGTGCAATGGCAGTCTTCTTGACCCAGGCCAGCAAATCCGCTTTTTAGAGATGCTACTTCGAACCACCTTCCAGAATATCTAACAGGGTCAAAGTTCTTTGCTGTCATACCTCTCATCATCATTAGCATCCCATTTCCTTCACCAGAATCTTCTTCAAGTGGAAGAGTTGGCTTATTATCCACAGCACTCGTAAGCTGACAGATGCTGGGATGATGAGATAAATCAGCTGCAAGAACCTGCCAACGAATGTTGGTTGAACTTAATAACATAAAGAAATCTCTACCGCAATGCTATGATTTTGTATCCTCTGGCACTACTCAAATCAGGGAAAGGGTTAGTTTGAGATGGGATTTCATTTCCCTGCAAACCCGACACAATTCAAACTCGCATGCTCGAGAAGAAGATTGGAAAATACTTGTCTGAACATCTACTTGACAACTTTTAAGCTTCAAAGTGGGAAATGATTTAGAGTGGAAACTGAATTTTCTCATAATCTTGATAGTGTGGTCATATTTAGCGACGTCTTTTTCATACAGAACTGAATCTTATAAACCGATATTTGAGATGCAACGATGATTAGACAAACTCCTTTGGGTAAATTCATCGAACAGTAACTTTCAAACCATGTTTTAGAGTTGAAATCCACTGATAAAACTACTAGAAATTGAAGAAACACAACCACCTCACCTGGCTTGTTCGAGAGAGAAATATCAATGAAGCAAGACCCGAAACAGCATGACTTGCAACAACTTTACTCAAGGGAGGACTCTTGATATAGCAATTCAATGTCAGCTTCCCACGCAATCCCCTGTAAAAGCAACACAATCAATACCAAAATTGCTATTAAAACCATATATAATTGTGAACATGTTATCACTTGCTTAAAAGGTTCACAAATGCCCTCATGACAAAATGTCAACTAAAACAATATCATTTTCACCAATTTCACACCCTATTCAAGCTTCCATTTTTCTCTTTCATGAGTTCTCAATCTCCAGAAAACTTCAACCGAAACCCTATAGTAAAGCTAAACGAATGAAACCCATAAAAGAAAATTAACAACTTATAAACAAAAAAGGGTGAATCGTGATGGTACCTGGGGAGACGAGGAGGATGAGAAGATGAACAGCATTGAAAGAGAATCAATGGTGAAGTTTGATGATATTGAATTGCATTCACCATATTTCAACACAATCAGTGATTTCTCTAGTTTCAATTGAACTCTCTGAAATCTTTGAGTTTTAGTTCAGATTCACTGTTGGGGGCTTCTGAAAATATCTAGAAAAAAGGAGGACGTTTAAGATTGGTTCTTTTTCTTACTGTTATAGTGAATTTGTAAATGGGAAATTTGTGATGTTGGATCAGTCTCCAAGCTCAACACTTCGCGTATATGAGGTCCCATGATAAATACTATACAACATTTTATACACGATTTTGACAATTCATTTTTCAAGCCTGTTGAAGGCAAGATCATATGCCACATCATTCTTAAGAAAGCAACCAACGACAAGGATTACGCCACGTCATTACCTTCCCAATAGGAAACCAGCACTCCGATAAACTACCTATTTTTTCAAGTTCTTTTTCCCCGTCTTTTCACTCAGCCGGCCTACTTATTGGTTCCTAACTGACCCCTTAAGCTGCTCAGCATTAGGTTTGGGGTCCTCTCTGTCAAAATTATTGTTTTTGTTAACTCTTCTGTAATGATTTCTCATTGGTTCTTAACTGTTAATATAAATTTCATAGTTTTTGAGTTGTTAATCTGATCAAATATGGGAATCTGAGATTTGGGTCTGTTAAAATGAGTGATTTTGAAATCTGGGTTGATGTTGAAAGCACTTGATTATTTTCGTTTTGTGTGTAATTTGTTTGTGTATTGCGATTGGTCTTTTCTTCTTGTCTTATGGATTGGACTTCGTGTTAAAAGTTGGAGTTTTAATCAATTGAAGAACTCTTATTGAATGTTTATTTGTTTAAAGCTGCAAATTTGTTCTGTGAAAAAGATATCCTGAATTGCATTGAGATTGTAGAAGATGTTATCCTAAAGCTTCGTTAAGCATTGCTGCTGAGTTGTTCATTTCACTTGTGAAACTTTAAATCTGAAAGAAAAGGGTATACTGGACAGTTCATAACTCACCAATTTCAATTTTCTTTCAACTTATTGCGACAACCGATACAATATCGAATTCTAATTGTATAGGGCTCAAGTTAAGATTTTATCAATACGATACTAAAAGGAATTTTCGACGAAGCATTTGAAGTACGAAGTATTTATCCGTGTGTTATTTTCAGTGATGGTATTCGGACCTTTGATTTTTCCATATGACATTGCATGATTGGTAGTACTATGTAGGGGTCTTTCTCTTTTCTTTCTTTCTGTCATTTCTTTTGGCTTGAAACTGTGATCTTTTTCTTGTAGTCTTGTGATATATCTTGTCTGTTTTTTTTTTTAATGAATTTGTTGTACTTGGGAACTTATATCTTCCCTTTGTGCAGAAAATGATGGTCCTGTTTTGCTAATCACGTTTACCGCTTTTTCAGAGCTTCAAAATGGCAACCGGCCCTGGACTTGAGTCCCTTGTAGATCGTAAGCAAACTGCAACAACCTCTTTGTTTCTTGAAATGTTTTAGCATAGCATCTCAAGGCAAATGAACCATGGAGCTGAATCCGCATAGACTTTCAAACTGTTTTTCTATTCCATACATTCTTAATTGACATTTTTCGTCGAAGTTATTCGGGCTCTGTTTCTCTCTCTGAATGATTTCCTTTCTGCTCAGAGACGATCTCGATCATTACCAATGATGGACGCAACATTGTGGTATGTTAAGGCATTCTCGCTAGCATTTCTTCAACTTTTGAAATAAGATCATTTTATTTGTGTATTTCTAAATTATTTTTAGTTACAGTGAGATCCTCATTTGCTTCATTATTCCTTTGTTTTTCTTCTCTCAAATAAAAAAGGGAGTTTTGAAAGGCTTTGAGTCTTTGACCAGGCTACAAATATCATTCTCGACGAATCTCATGAACGTGTGTACTCTACCAAGGTTTGTGCCCTTATTCCACAGGCTATATAATGGTTATTATTATTCATTTAATCTTTAGCACCTACTTTATTGAAGAAGCAAAAGGTTTTTCTTTATCCTAATAACTTAATTGCCTTTATATGATCGTTTCCCTGCTTCTTTTTGTTTTTCATCCCAACTTATTTGCAGGAAGGTGGTCAGCAACTTATTCTGGGTTTGTACATAATAAGAGGCGATAACATGTATGTCGTGTTTTCTGCTTCGTTTTCTATTGATTATTTGGGATTTTCAGTTAGTTTGGCTGCCTTCTGTAACAATTTTCCTTCAATTATTGCAGAAGTGTTGTAGGTGAACTAGACGAAGTGCTTGATTCTGCTCTCGACTTGTCAAACCTTAGAGCACACCCTCTGAAGTCTGTTATCCATTGATAGAACTATGAGAGTTTATAGTTCATAAGAACAGCACTTTGGATTAAGTTCCTAGGAAAACATGTTAAAGAACATAAATATGATGAGAAACCAAATATGTTTTACTGATTTTTGGATGCATTTCTGTCATTTTATTGGTAGCTGTTTACCTGCATTCATATTGATCACAATCTAGCGTGAAAGAAATAAAAAAATGGAATGCAATGTCTATTTAGGTCTCCGCGAAGTGTTGCAAATTCCATTGAAAATAAACGAACCCTCTGATTTGTGAAATGTACACAAGAAATATAGCCTTGGAAAACCAAGATTCAGTTCTTTGGAAGATTGGTATCAGAGGATATTAAAATTACATAATACTACCAAGAACGAAACGGATTGAAAACAAAGAATGACTTGTTGAATCCATCGATCATCCAAAGAGACTATCGTTTAGGTTTCCACGGGTGAGCAAGCTATAGAATACTTCTGTCTTATCACCTCCGTTACTTTTGGATTCTTTTGAAGGTACATCAGTTGGATTTCCTGTAGAAGTCGCTGGCCTTTTCACGGGTACAAATGCCACTTTCCTCACATTAGACACCAATTTTAAACTGCTTGAGCCAGCAGTACCAGTATCCGCCAGCGAGCTAGCTTGGGAGACGGTCTTCTGCCAAGGGTTTTCGGTAACAACAGTATCATCTGCTTTTTCAGCAAAATTTTCAACCTGCTTTGTGTCCTTGTCGTCGTGATCTCTTATGAAGTTGGTTGTAGTCTCATTCATATGGGGTGATATTTCAGTATCAGCATTCTCAGCAGTTGGTTTATCATCTACAATAGAAATTTAACGGACATGTTAGTCGCAAAAATAGATTCATAGCACCGAATCTTATCAGCTTGAAACTGAGTGTTTTGGAAGCTAAAATTTAAAGCATTAGACGACTCTGTAAATCCAGTTAATGTGTGCAGCAAAGAGTCTAGGCGATGGATGTCTATACCTCCAAGTACTGACTCGATAGTCTTGTATAGCACTTCATTACCTCCTACTGGAACTTCTCCATCATTGTCCTCTTCTTGTATTTCAGTCTCACATGTATTCGTCCTCTCAACCAATATAAACTTATCCGTGTTCCAGACACATTCTAGGGTTACATAGTCCTCTTTTTTGGGATAAAACTCTCTAAATATCTGGCATCATTGTTAAGTAAAAAGGCTAAGGCTCCACAATAAGCAACAGGAATTTTGAAAAAGAAATTGGGACAGTAAGAATCTATCAAATATGGAGAATGGGGTCAACCTCAATTCCTTGCTGATTTAATTTTACAGAATTCTTCGTTTGGGAGAGAGAAGAGACAGTGTTGAACACTGGGATGACATCAAGTAATATCTGCAAAAGGAAAACAAAGGATGAATTTCATGCTACTTACAACAGGTCCGTTAACTATGTGAACTCGCACAATGCAGTCACACAATGACCTAAGTGGGGTACAAACTATTTCCACAAAAATTGACTATTCAACCAGAAGGTTTTGAACTTACTTGTTGAACCAAAACTCGAAGGCGTGCGAGGAGAGATAAAACAGTAATAGAAAATCCCATGAAAAATGAGCGAGCTGCCAGAGTAGATACTTGACTATAGCACAGTCAAGGTTATCAAAAGAAGATAGAAGCTCTTCAACGGTTTTGGCATGTGTATTTTAAGGATTTGCCAATATATGCATCACTACCTAACCCATTAACGCAAAACAAAATCTAAACTTTCAATCTCTATTTTAAACTCTCCCAATTCTTAAGTAGTATCCGATTAACGAAAGATTTAAATTTCCCTAATTCTTAAGTAGTATCCAATTTAACAAAAGAACTCGATAAGGATACGTTGCTGCCCTCAACATTGGCTCAACCATCTGCAAGAGAAACAGATATCCATTCATATATAAATTTCGGGTTAGGCCATGCAACAAAAAGCAGGAATGAATGAGCATAATTACATGGAATTTACGGTCCTCAAAGGTTGCATTCGGTTCAGATGGGAAATGGTGATAAAATATTTGAGCTCTATAAAATAGAACATTAAGTCAACTATTCTTTTACCATTCACGTAGAATGAAAACATTAAACAGGGGAATTAATAAAGTCAGTTGAGATGCAACATAAATATATATAGATGAGAAGGCTAAAGATGCAATAATGTAAACAAAAATCTAAAGATGATAAATCTAAGACTGCAGTAATCAACAATAAGTTTTTGGATTAAAGGCAAAGTCCAAGAAGTTTTATAAGCTAGAAAAGAGAAAAACAATAATTTGCAGGAAACTGGTAGTAGCCTCAATATAGGAAGAGAAAGCAAAGAGAACGGACCATGTACCTGTGATAGTAGCCGTGCTGCCCCCAAAAGCCGTTCCATAAAATTAGGTTTTCCAACATCATATTTCCTCCTCTTCAAACTGTAAAGCAAACAAAATGAATGAATGAACCAAATTTAGAATCCAGTAAATATGCTTCAAGATCTTATTGTGGCAAAAGACATGATTGAAGTTCGAGTACAATATCACGAGGTAGGCAGTTCAAAACCGCTGGACTCGTCGCTGCAAACACTTCATCTTTTTCTGGTAAGGAAAAACGTTCAAAGGAGAATGAAAAGGAGAACGCAAAGATTCGGAAACGATACAGACGAGTTTTCACCAGACGTTTGCTGGCTGGTTTGAGGCAGTTCGGTAATTTCCCTATTCCCCAGAATGCTGCTATGAATGATGTTTTAGCTGCCTTGGCTCGTGAAGCTGGTTGGACAGTTGAGCCCGACGGTACTACTTTCAGAAAAGATTCTATGTCCCAAAATCAGCAAAGTTTGGGAACGTATATAGAGAGGTCAGGTGACAGTCCACATTCACCCAATCCTCTGAAGCAGTGCTCTGATAAAGCAACATTGGATTGTCAGCCACCTATTAAAAAAGATGACATTGGTCGGTCTTCTTCTCAAGGAGGAAATCATAGGGTCGGGAAGTTTTCAATAGTTCAGGCAGTACCAACTCTTCCTAACACCGATATTGATCAAGATGGAACCAAGGAGAGCACTATGAAAGGTTTCTCTAATGAAGATTTTCTCGAAGTAGCGAGAAGGAGTAGAAGTGGTTTTCATAATTGGTCGAAAGAAGGTCAACCAAGTTTCGGGAATGGGTTCAAAAATGGTTGTTACACGATTTTTATCGAAAATCTTCCAGAGACGATACATTGGAAGAGACTTCGGTCTATTTTTTGCACTTACGGGAAAGTTATTGATGCCTTCATTCCAAAAAAAAGAAACTCGCAAGGGGTTCGTTTTGGGTTTATTCGCTTTGCAACAATTAAAGAAGCCAAGATAGCGATTTCAAAGATGAATGGTAATCATATTTATGGAAGCAAAGTTAGAGTCTCTTTGGCTAAGTACAGACCCCGACAATCTTACTGGAGAAAGTCATCGACTATTGTTTGCCGTAAGTCTGGGCTGGAAGATATTTCGAGGATTAAATTCTCTGAAGTTGAGGGCGTTGTGGACGAGGATAAGCTACATGTGCTGAGTAACTGTCTTGTGGGGTGGTGCAAGAACTTCATTAAAATTGGTAATCTTGCTAACCAAATTCAAGCCAAAGGACTTGCTGGCTTCACGCTTATGAGGGCTGCTGCAAATGTAGTTCTAATGGTTTTTGAAGACTCTGATTCGTTGAGAATCGTGAAGGATGACTATCTAGAGACTCTTACAGAATGGTTTTCCAGAGTGGAAACTTGGTCCGAGAGCCTAGTGGTGAATTGTCGTCGCGTGTGGTTAGTTTGCGAAGGTATTCCTTTTCACGCTTGGAATTGGGATACTTTCAAAAGCATTGCAACAAAGTGGGGCAAATTATTATCAATCGACAAAAGTTGCGAGTTTCCATCATCTTTTGATCGGGCTAAAATCCAAATACTCACAAAAGATCAAGTGAGAATTGATGAGTTGTTGGAATTGAAGGTCGGTGATAATTTATTCAAGATTATGGTGCATGAAGTTGATCCATCCTTCAAACCTAACTCTTGGGTCCCCGAAGATTGCGATATCTCATTAGAACTTGATCCTCCAATTGATACTTAATTGTTTGGCATATGTTTTCAGAGGCGTTTTTTTTTTCAAGTTTTTGGTTGTAATGTTGGTTTGTTTTGCATTAGGTGTTGTTAGATTTGGTTAATAGGACAGCCAATTTAGAGGTTGTTGTCTTACCTAATGAAGGAATTGGCTGGTCTAGTGGTGCTATTTATGGGTGGTTTTAGGTTGTTTTTGTTCATCGGTTCTGTTATAGGTGTTTGTAAAGTTGTATCTTTTGTAATCTCTTATGTGCAATAAAATCCTTAGGCACTCTTTTCCTCCTTCCGTTGATTAAGGAGCTACACTACTAGCTCCAACAATCAAGAAGGGGGTTTTTAACGAGGCCTGAAATTCTTATCAAAAAAAAAAAAGTATGACACTAATTATCAGGTGAGACAATATTGCAACCTATTCTTGCATCACCTTCTTTTCCAACAGATGAAATAGACGAACGGAATAACAACCTACATATCCATAGGTGTGGTATAATTAATAGTTTCGATTTTAAAATCTGTAAACTACATGGAATTTGCATCAACCAACAGAAAACAGAGGCAGTATTCAAATTATAGTGAACTCTTCAAATCATTATGCGGTTCAAACATAAATGTAGTAACAGTTAACACAAATACCTCTCTAAAAGCTGCACCTTTTGTTTAGGTCTCTTCCCAGTGATAACCAGAAAGCAGGAATTTAATAATTCCTCCAAATGAGCAGATTTCAACAGTCTCAAGTCTCTCCTTACCTAATTTCACAGAAAATTTGACAAGCATAAGAAAAATTAGAATCAACATAATTCTCTAACATTAAACTGGTTATATAAATCATCTCCTAGAAAACATGGATTTGAATTTGTTCCTCCTTAAATATAACAACAGAGAGAAAAGTTCAGAACTCCTAGTTCTAATTTATGAAGTCCTTTACTTTTCCCCTCTCAGCTTTCTCGGCAGCCAAACGGCTAGTTTCTCAAACTGAAAAAATGCAACCCAAAATTCCTATAAATTTTCTACTCATATTTCGCTCTCTCGGCGTTTTCATCATTCAACAAAACCCAAAAATTAAAAATAAAAATAAAAAGAAATTAAAACAAACCTTTAAAAGATACTGAAAATACGATGACCTTCGATGCTGGTTCTTATTCTTGTAAATAATTCTTTCGAAAATGCCACACTCTACTTCAAGCCGACCCAAAAGAGACTTCAATTTCTCTTCTTTCTCAGAATCAGTTGGAGAGTCCATTGTTTTCTCTTGTTTTTGCAGATTAATTAACTAAAATTTGATAAAGATGCAATATCTATGTAGAGTTTAACAAAAGGGGTTTTTTTTTGGGGGGGGGGGGGGGGAGGGTGGCGGACAGAGAGAAATCATAAGAAAATTGTACAGAGGGTTTTCTAACGGGCTGGGAAAGTATTGTACAAAAATGAATTGGGTTTGAAAAAAAATGAATCCAGTTCGATTGGGCTAAAACTAAAACCTTTCTTTCCCTTACCGAATAAATATTTAGAATAAAGCTTATTTATTTAATATTTTTAATGATATGTTTTTTTAATATTTTTCTTTTTAAAAGGTTATTTTAATTCACCGTTATATATATATATATATATATATATATATATATATATATATATATATGGACGGAGCTTCTTTAGGGCCCAAGGGGGTCTCAGCCCATGTTAAAATTTATATATTCAATATAATTTTGGTTTAATAATATTTTGTTTCATGTAAAAATAAATACTTAAATTTAAAAAATATAAAAATTTATTAAATATTTAATTAAGTAGGGGTCGAACTAAAGAATGATAATTTTGTGTTCTCAAATTTTTTGTCTAATTACAATTTAAGTCATTGTAAGTTTAAATAATAAACAAATTAGAAATTGTCTTTTGAGTTCCGAGTTTTGATTTTTTTTTTTAATTTATGGTGAATACAATATAATATATGTACAAAAAATTTTAACTATTTGACAGTAAACGCTCATATCCAAACATACGTGCTTGAACTCGGGACCTCAAGGATAATAACAATCCCTTAATCACTAAGGTCGCTTGGTTCATGCTGAATTTCGAGTTTAAATACCTATTAAGTCTTTATATTTTTCTTAAATAGTCTAATATTTCGGCTCCTGCTAATATTTGATTCTGGCTCCGTCCCTATATATATATGTGTGTGTGTTATTGATAATATTTAAAAATAAAGATATGGTAAAAAAATAAGAAAAATAAAGATATATAATGATAAAGTAAAGTCGTTTGTGAATTTTTTTTGTTATTGATGTTTAAAATAATAATTATTATTAGTTTGATTAATTTAGGTGATTATAAGTCTACTTTCAATCATTTGACAATAGATACTCAAATACTCTGCAGTCGTTGATGCTCAAACTTAGGGGGATCGAGACCTATAGAAATAATAAGCATCATTTTAACCACTGAGATAGCGTAACTCGTAAAATTATTTAAAATAATTACAACATCAAAACCAACGTTAACTAGACATACGGTTAATTGGGTTTTTTAAATTTAATATAACTATATTTATGAAAATATAAAGTAATGTTTTTTAATATTCTAATATAATTATAAAATATTATTTATATTTATATTTGATTTCAACCATGGATATATTTTATGGATTCTTTAAGTGACTAAGTCCATAATCAAATTATTTTCAATATTTATAAAAAAATAATTAATTAATGTATGTAAGATGAAATATGGTTATAATTAATAGCTTAATTTAGTTAATGATGTTAACAAGTGGGTCGCTTCCATGTCACTTTAGTTGATTCACATGCACCCTGTCTTGGCTCCCATCCGCTTCGTCATTATCAATCACCAACCACCCCCTTTGAAACCGCAGCACTACATTTGCCATCTTGTTTATCTTTCATCTTTTCTTCATTGCTATAGTATATATCTATATTAGAAGATTCCCGGAACGAATCAAATGATCTCGGAGATAAAAAATTGATGTTATCTCTTGGAGTCTTAAATTCGAGCACTAAAAATACTAAGAGTGTGAACGTTATATAAAAAAAAATATTAGAAGAGTCTCGAGTTTGAATTGAATTTAACTCTAATTGTTCTTTTAAGTTTCTTACTTTAGATTGATCTCATTGTTTTTAAGTACATATCTAAATTAAAAGAGTCCCGGTATGAACGAAGTGGCCTCGAGGGTAAAAGAATTAATATTATTTATTGAGATAGTAGATTCGAACACCAAAAATACTAAATATGTGAGCGTTCAATGTCAAATGATTAAGAATTTATCTTTAAATGGATATTACCTTATACTTCTTCAAATTAATAAAAAAAATTAACAATTATTGAATTTACTATTTAAGTTTACTTGTACAAATTTGATTTCTTATATGACTTTGGCCTTGAAGATGACACACACATGCACCCATTCGTCAAAGGTTTATTGAATACCTTGTACTAATATCATTAAAATGGTCAGCTTTTTTTCTTTTAATAATCTTTCCATGTGTGTTCAACATGTGTGCCATAACCCCAAACAACAACCATTTGTTTGGCCTTCGTATTACTTTTTCTCAATATGATCATTCAACTTATAAAATAAATTTAATGTGGTTATATGAATAATATTTTTTATCGTTGATGTTATGGTGTTGATGTGGCATCTCACTGTAGTGACGCGCAATCCACAGTTGTTGATAATGTGGCAATGACATGCCAAATGAGCTAAATTGATAGCTCAAACATAACAAATAGACTGTCACATCAACACCGTTAATCGCCATGTCAGCACGGTAATGATCAACGGCGAAAAGAACATTGGTCAAAGGATCACATTGAGTTTGTTTTTGAGTTGGAGGGTCACATCGAGAGAAAAAATAATACGAGGGTCACATTGATTTTTTTCAAAAGTACGAGGACATCTGATGCCTTTTTACCTAAATTAAAAAATATTAAAAAATTATTTAAAAACCCATATGTAATGGTAGGATTTAATGTATCAATATTTTTTTAATTTTTAATAATTATAGTTAGGCTGACACAAAAAAAGTATAATTTGGTATTAGCTTTTCATGTCTTGCCCAATTCCTTTAACCTTTCTGAACAAAACATATAAGTTTATGTTTGTTAGTTAGGTGGTTCTGGTATGAATGTCAACTATGGTCTATTTCACTAGGATTCTAAGTGATACGAGATAGATTGAGAACTATTCGAGATCAATTTGATTAAAGTTTGATAAATATTCGACTCAAAAAACTTGTGAGTAGCTCGAAAATATAATATGTTAAGATTCTATTTTTTAAATAAATTATTAATAATATTAATATTTATTTGTTGATTTTTTTAAATAAAATACAATATACGTTTTCATGTACTTAAGATTTAAGTTCGAGTTTGAGATTTTGATCGAGTTAAGTTTAAAGATTTTTTTTTCATTTCGAGCTTTTATAAGCTTCATTTCATGATTTCGAATTTGAATTGAACGGAAAATTTTAGGCTCGCAAATTTTCCAGTCAAGTCGAACTTGACAATACTCAAACACTCGAATTTGTTTACGGTCCTACTAGTAGGTCGTTCATTTCTTTATCAAACGGATAATATATATTAATTAATTAATTAGACTTCAATGTTCTCTTTCGACGAGGACCTTCCATTGTTTGATTTGCAAATTTTTTATTTTTTTTAAAACATCAAAGCTCAAATACCCACTTTAAATTGGTATTACAAAACTTCATAAAATTATAAGAAAAATTCAACCTAACTCTACACTTATCTAAATAGAATATAATTATTTTTTATTAAGTTAAGATGTGATTACGAAGTAGTATACATTTTAAATACTCTCAACTATTGACAATGAACGTTCAATCATCCTGTTGCAATTGTTGGTGTTCGAACCCGCGACTTCTAAGAACAACAACGATTCCTTTAACCAGTGACGAATCTAGAAATTAAAAATTGGGGGTCCAAAATTTTAATACCCTATTCTAAAAAAATTTGGGTATGCGAATTTTCTTATTTTTTTCTATTCCCATTAACAAATTAAACTAAATTTAACATTTTCTCAAAATAATGGTGTGCAATGGCTCCCCTGGACAGTCATGTACATCCGCCCCTGCTTTAACAACTAAAGTAATTGGTTCGTGCCACACATTCAATTAATAAAACTTTTTAAACTCAACTTTTTAAATATTAAAACAACAATAATATCAACAAAACGTTTTATTGTTTGATTAATTTTACCTTTTTATACCATTATTTTTAATGTAATCCATTAAAGATATGATTCAATCATGATTATCACAATATAGACAATATATATATATATATATATAATATGTTAATATTAATTAACATTTTTTGTTATATTCATTTATTATTGTTCTTTAACTTAAATTAAGTCGTCGTATCATAAAACTATCCGTTTTTTTAATGAAAAAATAATTAGGATAATAGAATGACATGTGAAAGTTTGAATATCAAATCAATCAAAAAAGTTTCAAATACTAAACTGATAATTTTCGTATTGTATAGGGACCAATTAAGGTATTAAGCTTGCTTAGGACTTTCATAGAACCGATAGCCAATACTTTTTTAATCTTTATCTTAATAAAAAAACAATATTCTTGCTTTTTCTTATCTTTGAAAAAGACACGTCACAAGATTCTTGTGCTTGGCATACGTAGATCGTAGACAAAGATTTATCCCTTCAAAAAAGAAATATTACGATCTTCCCAAATTACCCTTTTAGCTGAATTAACCAAATTACCCTTATCGGTTTTTTATACTAGTCCATTTGGCTTACCGAAATTGACCCAAATACCCACCGTACGTAAACCCCAAGAAGCCGGCAGTTTGGACTATTTGGGTACAAAAATAAAATTACCGGTTAACTGCTATACCTATTACATTCCAAATATACTATAAGCTCTTTCAAAGCTTAAAGCTGAAGAAGAAACAACAGAATACTATGTCGAAACAACGACCAATCTTCCATTTCCATGTCCTAAACCCTTCATGAATCAAAAAACAATGACACGACTTTGCAGGAAACTTGTTCATGCTAACATTAAATGGAGTATACTTGGAAGGGCATCGATTTTTCGAAGGTTTTTTAGGCTCATTTGGGATAGGATTCTTGTTTGTTCTGTAGGAAGACGACCCGTTCACTACAGGAAGTTGACACCCCGGGATTCTTCTCCGCTGGAAGGGGTGGTGGTTATCGGAGACGACGAAGACGATGAAGGCGAGGCCTTAACCGACAAGGGGTACGAGTCGGATTCGGATTTGGTTAGTTTGAAGATCAGTTTGTTAGGTGACTGTCAGATTGGGAAAACGAGTTTTCTGGTAAGAAAGCATGAGTTTTTGGTTTCTTTTGTGTTTGATGAAATTCTTCTTAGAATAATTAACCCTTTTGTTTTCTTTTTTCTTTTTTGGAAGATCAAATATGTTGGGGATGAACAAGAGGGGAGCTTGGAAATGTCCGGATTAAATTTAGTAAACAAAACATTATTTGTTCAAGGTGCTAGGATTGCTTTCAGCATATGGGATGTGGGAGGTATATATCTTTGTTTCTAAAATGCAAAACCCAAAGTTTTTCCCTTATTTTTTTCTCATTGTTTTCTATGTGATTTTTCTCCTTTGCAGGTGACAGTAACTCTCTTGACCATCTTCCAATTGCTTGTAAAGATTCAGTAGCAATTTTGTTTATGTTTGATCTAACAAGCCGGTGCACCCTTAACAGGTTAGCTCAAAAACCTGTTTTTCAACTGGAAATAAGCCCCGCAAATGCAAATTCATGATACAGTTTTCTGATTCTTGCAAGTGTTTTGTTGGTTTTTGCAGTGTTGTTGGATGGTATAGTCAAGCAAGGAAATGGAATCAGGTGCTAAAATCAACTTAATCTCGTTGGTTCATACAAATTTGGTTTTCGAATATTAATATCTGTAATCCTACAAATAAAGGGTTTAGATTTTTGAAACTGCAATAAATTTGCTGATGTGTAATTAATTGCATCTTTAATACAATAATTGACTGGTAATACATAAATTATTTGTTAGTTCAAGAAAGGAACTGTTGTCTTGTAATTGAATGTGGGGAATGGGTGAATTTAATGAGTAAATTATTAGATTGGTGTCAAATTTTCAAGCTTTACTTTGCAAACAATAAAGAGTATTGATGTTGAGCTTTCAGTACTAGGCCCATAATATTAGTGCTCCAATTAATAGGTTGTCTCTGTATTCAGTAAAGAATTTTATCAAGTGGAGCCATTAAGATTCTGATGTTTTATGCCTGTGTTCTTATATCAGTTTCCCAGGTTTTCATTTGTTCTTAATTCAATATGGTTTTTCCCAAGAGTTTTGCAGAAAGCAATTCCAGTATTAATAGGAACAAAATTTGATGACTTTGTTAAGCTCCCCCCAGATTTGCAATGGACTATTGTGACTCAGGTAAATAACTCGCCTTCATATTCGTGTCATTATCATATTCGATAAGATCGGAATCGAAACAGAAATACCCATTTTTCTATATTACCCGAACTTTTTTATTTTCTAATTATACTATATATATATACTTGTATTAGACATACTTGTATTTGACACTTGATCATAAATTCAAGTTGAAGATACACAAGTCATTAATGTGTCATTTATCAAGCATTTGAATTAGAGGAGTTGTTGTCATGGGGGAGTCTTCATTTGTCAACCAGCCATTTTGACAATTGGGACAAATATTTCCCTGTCTTTCTCAAACCGTGTTTAAAGATCAAAACACAAAAAAGGGGGCCACTTGTTGATTTAAAAGTAGTGAATTTGGAATTTGGTTGCTTTGGACAAAGAAACTTCCTTGTAGGTCATAAACCAATTTGATAACAATGTGCGTAGAAAAGGTGTTTCTTTTTGGGGTATTTTTAAAGCAATATATTAACCAAAGTTGAAATTGGAACAGGCAAGAGCATACGTGAAGGCAATGAGGCAACCCTTTTCTTCTCAAGTGCTAAACATAACATCAATGTGAACAAGATCTTCAAGTTCATCATGGCCAAACTCTTTAACTTGCCATGGACGGTCGAGAGAAACTTGACCGTGGGAGAACCCATTATCGACTTCTAGTACCTGTTTTTTTTAAGATAAAGTAATTTTTAATTTCTTGAACTTTTTTTATCCATAATAGTGCATAAACTTGAACTCTCTCATTTTTAATCTTTTTGATGATGTATCATCAAGATTGATTAAAAATCCAAGTTCATGAACTAATGTGGATAGAAAAAGGTTTAGAGATCAAGTTGAGAAAATTACCAAGTTCAGGGATTAAAAATTGTTTTATCCCTTATTTTCCCTTTCTTCACTGATTTTTATGTACATAATTGAAATAGGAACGAATCAGAAGATTGAAAAGAGAATAAAAGTTATTCTTCAATCCATTTCTTAGCACCAAATTGACCCCACAACAACCACACTTTGGTCTTTCGTGGTTTGGTTCGCATCTTTCATTGCCTCTGCTTTTTCTGTATCATTAGTTGTGTCGAATTAAATTGGGACTAAATCTATAATTTGAGCATAGTAGAGGGACCAAAATCAATAAGAAAAATAGGAGAATCTGCTTTCTTTCCTGAAAGGGTTCTTTATTGTAGGGGGGATGACGGTGATGAGTGGAGATGGAATAATTCCACTTGGGTTTCAAGCAACTTAAAGAATATGAGAATGAGATTATGGAGTACATATTATAATGCAATTATGGGATTATGGACCGTCCATGACATTTTAAAATAACACCATAGTCTAACAGGAAACCTTTGAACACAAACATTGTTCTTGTTTTATTAAATATCAGATCATATGGGACCAAGGCTCACAGCATTAATCCTTGTTTTATTCAGGCAGATTCCCTCTCAGCCGCAACAAAACATTAAGAAAAGAACAGCAGGCCTTCCCATGACATTGTTTATAATCATCATTATTGTAAGATTATCTACAATATGAAGATCTTATCCGACCGAATCCCGGGCGTTCATCGAAATCATGAAAGAGAAATTACAAAAAAAAAACTATTCTGAGCTAAATTCTTCCAGATGTTTCGTCTTCCGTCATCTGTGTTGCGCGATGAATCAAAATTCTCAAACCCCTGATTTTCATCAAGCTTTTGCCTGCAGAAGTGATTGAACAAACATAATTTAAGGATAACGAGAGTCGATCATTCTCAATACAGGCGGACAAAAGATATCGACTTCGTATTGGCATCTATGGATTTACATTTTCAAATATCGCAAGACACGAAAGATACATCTAAGGACCGAAACGTTGTAGGAGGCACTGAGTGGGTGTTTAAAGATGGTCTACAAGCAGATCAAAGACACCAAACATGACAGTGTTTTTAGAAAACAGAGCTGTTGCCTAGTTCTTAGTTGCATGATCACTCACCTGAGAATACAAGAAGGTTCCTAGGATAGCAATGGCGGCTCCAAGAGCATTGACGGGCTGGACAGGCGTGTGGAAGATGATGAGAAGAGACTATAACTGATATACGTTTCATGGTGTTGCCGACGCTAAATGTCAAGGGAGAGATCTCGTCGAGGGACATGTACGAGACCTGGTTGTAGAGATGGTAGAAAATACTTTGGGCTGCTACCCACCTATCAAAACACGATAAAATCCACGAAACTTTGTTAATGAACCGGGAAGAATAAAAATATTATGAATCGTTACATCTTGTCCATAAAGAGTATCGAATGATTCAAAATTCACAGAAGAAAAGCTAATTTAAGGTAAACTTGAGAAGCTCACAAAACCTTCAGGATGAAAAGATAAGCATATGAAAATGGTCACATCTAACCTCAATGTTGTACGTGCGTAACTGAATCTTCAATGGAACAATCATTGATTATTACAATTAGCAGTTCGGGTCAGGTTATATAGTGGCTCGAGGCATAAATTTACTAAAGATTAATCAAACTCGATGCATAAATCATCCAATTGCATCAGCTCTTGAAAACGAGCATCGAATCCAAGATCCATGCAGGCATAGATAGAGACTTCTCGGATGGCACTCCATCGATTATTAGTAGTTCAGATTAAAGATAGAATCAATCCATATTCTCTTACGAAATCGTATAGGTGATGGAGTGTCTAACTTCCTCTTTTAGTAGAACCTAACCATGAGTAAATTCAGATAAGTTTATCTAAGCATGCAACACTGGTCGAGTCGAACGAATAAATCCCAGACACTAGTAAG